TATTATTATGTTTTACTTTCCAAATACTTGATTCTTAAATTGTAAGCAACTTTGATCCTCATTCTAAAAGCAATTCATGTTATTTTCTTATAATTATAATGTTGCAGCTTAATATATTATATCATATAAAAATATTATCTTATAAGAATATTAGTATTATTGCATTCTTATTTGTTGCTACAATTTTTAAATATATTCCTTTTTCTGGCTCCTGCATTATCAGTATCATTCTACCTTGCAAGTGAGATTCTTTTTTATTCTTTGCATACTGTCCCTTGTCATTCACACGCTGGCTTGTTCCCAATAAAGTGAGACGCACGCCTCAGCCCAACACTCTGACTGGAGACGCCCGTCTCCAACTGTTCCCACGCCATGCAGCTTTGAGACGCACGCCTCACGCGTGGTCTCCTGTGTCAGACGGTCGCCTCAGCATGTGTTTCGTGCAGAGTAAAAGTTGGTCTTCCCTTGCATTTACTTGTCTTGTCCGTTTCGTTTTCCCATTCAGCCCCAATTAATTCAAATTCAACACTCTTTATTCTCATTCAAATTATATTCTTTCCACTTCCCACCATTAATCCCCATTCATATTTTCCCTCCCATTTTCCAACACCCACTTATTATAATTTATCACTCTTAACTCTCACTCCACTATAAATACCATTCATCCTTCTTTCTCATTTCACAACATTTCTAAACATCTCTACCATTTCCTCTCCTACACCCATATTTTCTACCTTTTCCCCTCTTCAACCCATATCCATCTATGGCTCCACGAAACAACCAAAGACAAGTTAAGCCCGACCGACCACCACCCGACCTATCCAATATCATTTTCCGCGATAACGACGACGGCCAACAACAACAAAAGTATAAAAAATTCTATACCCGTTCCGTCGTTCCTACAAAATACGTAAGTTCGGAGTGTTTGGAAACCTTAGGAATGACCGATAGCATCGTATTCATGCTCAATAACACCAGTTTAACCAGTCTCTGCACAAACCCATGTCCAATCTATGAACCACTCGTGCTTGAATTTCTTAGTTCCTTCTCTTACACAACACCTGTCAACGATCCCTACACAACCGGAACCGCCAACTTCCGCATGTTTAACCAAGAGTACTCTCTTGATCAAGAAAGAGTCGTTGAACTCTTATCTTTCACTCGCGGCGAGCATGTTCATTACAAGCCTTTCGGCGATGACCACGATCTTTCTTGGGATCAAGTCGGCTTCTCCTTATGGAATAATCTAACCGGTCAAACCACGGAAAGTTGGCACGACCTCTATGCTTCTCAAATACATAACCCTGCATTAAGGTACTTTCACCGCGTTCTTGCTAACACCATCTTTGGTCGGACCAATAATCACAAGGTCAACCAAAATGAGTTGTTCATCATTTTCCGTGCCCTTAATGGTCAGGCTGTCAACGTCGCTCCTTTCATGCTCAGTCACATCCACACATGCGTGAACGCGGCAGGTACTAATCCTTTTGTTTTTGGAGGCATCATCACATCTTTAGCATATGCTTTAGGCCTTTCCGCCGAGCTATTTTCTTTGTTACAATATATGATGCCAGCCACTCTTCTTGATGTCATCTATTGCCGAGATTCCCATATAATCTCTCCAAGACATGATGGCCGGTTTACATTAGTGATAAATCATCGTCAAATTCCTGATTTTGTGTTACCTTGTCCGAATCGTATCGACGTCCGAGTCCGCGCCAATTGGCGTTATGCTCTTGATGCACCTGCCACCCAACAACCAAATAATCCCGCTGCAAATTTCGCAGCTATACAGGCTCATATGCTTCGTCAAGATCAGTTGTTCTATGCCATGCAACAAAACCAAGCTGAGACTTTACGTCTCGTACAAGAAGTACAACGTGACCAACAAGAGATGCGACGCGAACAACAAGAATATGCCTTTCGCCATGATCGTAACCTCGAATCTTTGCAAGCTCGCATAGCAGACGCACTTCATCTTAATGATTCTGATTCTGACGTACGACGAAGACCTCGTACTAGAGGACGAAGAACAAGAGATCATGATTCTCAAAGCAACGAGTGATCGCCTTTCTCTTTTCATCTGATTCTCCTTTGTTTTTATCGCATTGAGGACATTGCTCCTTTTTAGTATAGGGGAGTCAGATCATTTCCTTGTTCATTTCTATTTCCTTTGCTCTCTTTGTAGTATTTTTCCTTTTTTTTTTCTTTTCTTGTATTGCAAAATTTCAATTCAATAAAATACTTATTTATGCAAATTTTAATCTCTTATGCAAAAATTTGTGCTTACTCGAATTCCCCCTATTTCTTGAGCCATAACGAATAAAATAAAACAATTTTAACACGTATTTATAAACATTATTCAACTAGTATTAAGGTTGCCTATTATAAATAAGAATTCGAGCAACTTAGCAAAATTGCTATCGTCTTAACACTTCAAAACCCCCGATGTGTTGGATCGATTTAAGTACTTATTATACCAAAACCTTTAAAACTTAGTTTTAGATTAGCCCCGAGTAGTTTATTAAGCAGTCGGCACCGCCATAAACACAAACTACGTGGAGAGCTGATGAATATAAGTGATTGATCAAATATTCTTAAGAAATTGCTTTTATCTGAAGATGCACTTATTAAGTTAGATGGTCCTTACCAGATCATTTAATCCAACAGTTGCAGAAACTATAAATTTAAATGCAAAATAATCCATTATAAATTGGTTCAGTGGTCCCTGGCGCTGAACTTGGTAGGGCGAATTACGGTTCGATCCCCCGCAATTTTTAATTGGAAAAAGGGAGTACCATATGACTAAATTACCAGAACTCCTAGCTGGCTTACTAAGATCAAATTCACTAACCAGTTACTCCACTATGTGCGTGTAAGGTAAAGGGCTTAATGTGATTGCACTAGAATGAAAACGGGTGAAATAAAACGTAGCATTAGGTTAAGCTATAATGACATGACTTAAATTGGTCTGCTTAAATGGGATTGTCCAGTGTTCCTACGGTAACTTTGGTGTTTAAGTTTGACTTAAATTCTCTAACGAAAAATTCAACTTGCAACCTGGTATGAAGTGATGTATGTTCTTATATCTGTGTTTAACTGTGCGTCAGTGATTTTCATTTTTACTTTTGCTTGAGGACAAGCAACGGTTCAAGTATAGGGGAGTTTGATAACACAATTTTATATAGTATATTTGATTTAATTTTCATAAATAATGTTAGTATTTTTATTTAATTATTTCATTTTATTTCCATATTACGCCGGTATTTTTATTGTTTCAGGTATTTTATTTTAATTAGACAAATTGAGCAAAGTGAAGAAATTAAGAGAGTTATTGGACTAAATATGCAAGAAATGAAGAAAAGGGGTGTGCAAAGCAAAAATGATGGATCAAAAGGTTTATTATCTCCAAACTGGGCCCAAACGAAATCAGGCCCATGCAAGCAAGAGAGCCCTAAAGGCACGTGCAAGAGTGAGACGCACGTCTCAACTCTTCTCCTACAATTGAGGCGCCCGCCTCGGACCCTCCCCTTAGTGGGAGGCGTCCGTCTCAACTTCCACGTAGGCCCTAGGATGACAATTGAGGCGCCCGTCTCAACGTGGTCAAGTTAGAACAAGAAATTTGGGGAAAAGGGGTACGAAAATATCTCAAAACGTGGTTACATTCTACCACTATAAAAGGACATCAGGAAATCAAAATTGGGGGCGTTTTTTTTAGCATTATTTTCCAGTTTCAGAATTTACCTTCCCGCATTATTATTTTCCATTGTAATTCAGTTTCCAGCCAGTTCCTTTTCAAATACTTAAATTCTATTTCTGTTGAAGAACCGGGATTTTGTACGAATTGATTCAAGCTTCAAGAATTATTTCCAGCATTTATTTAATTCAGGTTTCTTATTTACATCGTTTTAATTTATTTAATTAATTATTTGCATGAGAGATATTTATTTAGCCATGAATTTATTTACGAATGTTAATTCCTTTAATGTATTCATGTCTGCTTTTATGAGTATGTCTGGCTAAATTATTTAAATATCGATATGTAACGAGTTAATTTGAATGGATCCGGAACAAACAGGCTTGATTATATTTTATAAAATAAACACTTTTTCTGATTTAGTTATCTAATTTATTTTATTAAAAAAAGTTTAGAAACCAATAGAGCGAAAGTTTGAGGCTAATAAACTGACTAAGATTAGAAACCAATAGAGCGACAGTTTGAGGTTTAAAATCAGATAGTAGATACTAGGTATTGTTTTTAAAGACTGCGACAGCGTTTTAAAACCAATTAAACTTTATTTATTTTCAAAAAGTAATTTTAAAATCAATGAGATAGCGAAAGCATACATCAGAGTTTAAAATTATAATTTACTTCAATAGAGCGAAAGTTTGAGAATAGATTTTTGAATAAATACTTTTTGCTGAAAAAGATATTATTATCATTTTTAGAAAATAAGCCAGTGGAAAGCCGGATTCTTTAGTGTTAACGAAGTACATACCGATATTCGCATTATTATTATTTCAATTAGAATTAAGTTTTATTACCCAAAAATTCCCCTAATTAATTATTCGCCAGCTATAGCTTTACACAGTACTTTAGGTTACGTTAGTTCGATTTATAGTCCCTTAGGTTCGATATCTTTTAAAACTACGCGATAGGGCTGTATACTTGCAGTCTCCCGATTAATTTAGACGATAAAGTCGCGATCAATGTGATAATGAATTTTAATAGAATAGACTTCACATACATTTTTTCTACAAAAAGTGTGACCACTATTGCTAAGAGATATAACATTTTAATATAAGCAATGCTATTGTAAAAGGTATAAGTAGTACTTCTAACTCATAAACATACATACATACATATCAATCGAGAAGTAAAAAAAAAAAAAACTATAAATCACACCGACACCACTACTCAGTTGACACCACAAGGAGTAAAATTAGCCATTTTCTGAAGTAATCTACCCTCATTGTTCAATTTAATGACCCCTCCTTCTTCAGCTCCATACTTCTTCATAACTTATTATTATTCCATCCTATAATTTCATAAAGAAAAAGATCAAAGTGGTTCCAAATATGGACAATTAAACATTTATTTCCTACTAGGTATTAGAGCAACAAACATTGAAATTTTTTAGCAAAAGTGGAAAATACTGACCTTATATGTGTCCATATCATGCATAATTTCATTAATGACTTTCTCCCTGTATGTGTCAACCTTGTCACCTAAAGCATTACATAACTCCTCAAGATCAATATACCCAGATTGATTTTTATCAAGATATTCAAATGCTTTATTGATGTGTTTTTCATTGGATATTTTTCTTAGATGAATACAAATGGCTAAAAACTCTCCATAATCTAGGTAACCATCTTTGTCTTCATCAAACTGTAAAAGCAGCACCAATAGGTTAGAAATTTAAGACACCTTTTGAGTAACCCAAAACATTAAAAAAAAAAAAAAAACCCACTTTCGGTAATCCAAAACACAAGTGCTTATCAAAATTAGTGGTTACGAATAATGGCAATAAGAAAGTTAAAAAATCACTCGTGTAGACAACTAGTTTGACAAACTACTAATACATAATAAACTCATCGATTGAGGAACAAACTTTGAATATCCGAGATTATGGCAATATACTCACAGCTACCATAAGTCTTTGCACATTTCCATCAGGAATTTCGTGGTCTAGTGTATGCAACCTTATTCGTAATTCATCCAAGTTAATTTTGCCTCTATTTCCTGTATCAATCACAAAATCCCTGTCACTTTTTGCATCAACTTCTATAGACAATTGCTTTGCAATTATCGTCGATGTTGTTTTTGTAAGCTTGTTCACTACAGAAAATTGAATAAGCTTTGCTCTGATTGTTTCTCCCAATGATTGTTTCTCCCAATGATTGTGCCGCAACCAATAGTCTGCATTAAGTTAACAAGCAATATCAACATTCCCACATTTCAATTTTTCAACTTATTTGTGTGTAGAAAACAGTGTTAGTCTTCTATATGTTTTACGTAAGCAAAGGATTCTATTATCTAAACTGCATATTACCTGACCTCTCGAGGGTAGGATCAAGCATCTTCTGAACAAGGCATTTTGTATCATTAGATATCTTCTTGACAAGCTTGCGCAACCATGGATGATCTGCATTTATTTAGTTAACATTCCAACATTTTTATGGAAAACTGTTCATCACCTAACAGAAAATATTCTACACAATTCTATACTTTACTTCACTACCTAAGAATTCTATTCCATGAACGGCATATTACCTAAAACTTCCTGTGCAGTAAGCCGCCTCTTAGGATCAGGATCAAGCATCTTCATAACAAGGTCTTTTGCTTTTTCAGAAACCTTTGGCCATGGATATCTTTCAAAGTCAATAACAGATTGTATTATTGCTTGAGCAAATCCCTGCTTACTTTCTGCATTTTAAGAAAGAGAGAATTTAGAAAATCAAATTTATCACACAGAAGAACCAAAGAAATATGATGTATATGAAAAGTAAAATAAAAAGTATTTATAATATCATTCATTATCTTATATTACACATACAAATGTAAATACAAGGTACAAAAATATCAGGTAGATGGTTAGGGATAGGAAACAACATTTATTAAGTGATAAATAAACAACTCTTTTTAGGGGATTGAGAAGACAAAAACCAACCTGCCCAAAATGGAGCGTCACCACAAAGTAAGATGTAGAGAATTGCTCCAGCATTCCAGATATCAACTTCAGGGCCATAATTTCTTTTTAATACTTCAGGGGCCATGTAATATGGACTTCCAACTATCTCATTAAATCTTTCACCTGCACAGAATGACAAACTTCAGTTAAATGTACTTGAATGGCAGGACCATATTAGAGAATATTATAATATCAAAATATATATGAGATATAGATTACAAAAGAGTTGGTTAGGGTTAGTTACCAACTAATGCGAGAGTGACCGAGTTTGTTATAACTTAGTGCACTGAAACTTTGTCTATACTTAGGTGGGTGGCTATCCCTTGTAACTAACTTTGGTTCATTCTATTATTCAATACAACATAATTTCTTTACTCTCTTATGCTTTCAGTTCAAATATGAACACTCTTTCAATTTCTAATATGGTATCAAGAGCTTGAGATCTCTCTCAGCCATGGATTCGGCTTAAACGAATCGCTCGTCACCATCACAGAATGCAAGTTCTTTGAAAACGATGATGGATCTTCGTTGAAAAAAACACATTCAAAACCTTCGTGCAGCAAATCACCATCAAGCTGAACAATTCTAACTTTCTATCATGGAAGCAACAGGTTGACGGTATAATCTGAATCCACAAACTTCATCACCACCTTGCGAACCCTATCATTCCTCTTCGTTATCTTTCTGTAGAAGATCGTGCGACAGACACCGAAAACCCAGCATATGTAGCTTGGCATCAACAAGAATCACTTCTATTCACTTGGCTTCTCACTACACTCTCCGATTCGGTTTTTCCCTAGGGTTGTGAAATGTGCTCATGCTCATGAATTTTGGTCTGTAATTGAACAATTTCAGAAAACTCAGATCTATGTGAAATCAATACAATTGCGCTATTAGTTGCTGCATTGAGAGAGGAGATCGCACTATCGCTCAATCTTTAGGTTGAATTCAACAGATCGTTGATGTCCTTGAGTCCATCAGAGATCCTGTTTCACATCATGATCAACTTGAAACGATACTTGATGGCCTTCCTCCGTGTCTATCTTTGGCTGTCCATCATTCAATATCGTGATGAACCTTGTGCACTGATTGTGGCTGAAACAATGCTCTTGTCTCATGAAGCACGACTTGATCGAACTCCTCGCACACCAATTCAAGAACCTCTTTCAGTAAATCTAACTCAAGGTAGTGTATCTCCTTCTTCACCTTACTACCAACTGCATATGAAGTTCAATCCGAAGTGCTTAGTCAGGACAATGTGCAGCACTTCGATAGTACTCGTGGAGGTCGCTCCAATGGTTTTGAGGTGGTGGCAGATATGCCGGCAGAGCTAGAGTTCAATGTCAGATTCGCTCTTACGTTGGACATGATGCACGCATGTGCTACCACCGTTACTTTGCTCAACCTCCTCCTTCTGATCAGTAGAGGAATCCAGTTCCACACCTCATCCCTCAATCTCCTTACACGAATGTTTGTTGAACACTAAACCAGTTGATACTCTTATGGATCCAAGTGTCAAACTCCTACCCAATCATGGTGAGCCTCTATCTGACTTAGGAAGGGATAGGAGATTGGTTGGAAAGTTGAACTGTCTCATAGTCACTCGTTCAAACATTTCTTTTGCAGTTAGTGTGGTAAGCTAGTTTTTAAATTCTCCTTGCCAGGAACACATGGATGATGTTATCGGGATTCTGAGATACATCAAATGAGCTTCAGGAAAAGGTCATGTGTATGAAGAAGATAAAGGGCATACTCAGATAATTGGATACTCCGATGCTGATTGGACAGGGTAATCCATTGATAGACAATCCACCTCTTGGTATTGGAGGAAACCTTATATCCAGGAAAAGTAAGAAACAAAATGTAGTTACAAGATTAAGCGCCGAGGCAGAGTATAGGGTCGTGGCAATGGCAACATGTGAACTCATTCAGTTAAAGCAGTTGCTCAAGGAACTTCAAATTGAAGAAGCAAGACCAATGACACTTGTTTGTGGTCATCAAGTTGCATTACACATTGCTTCAAATTCAATCTTTCATGAGAGGACCAAACATATTGAGATAGACTGTCACTTTGTCAGAGAGAAGATTGAATCATGCGACATCTCACAAGCTTTGTCAACTCTAATGATCAATTGACAGAGGTGTTCAAAAAATCTCTATGAAGTTCCAGAACTAATTATATATGTGGCAATTATATATGTGGCAAGTTTTGTGCATTTGACTTATATGCTCAAGCTTGAGAGGAAATGTTGATATTTGTGTGTGTCAATATATTTTATGGAATATTTCTTAGTTCATTTTAGAATATAATAGGATATACTCTAGCATATTTCCCAATGTAATTAATACGATGAGTTGTATATTTTATTATATAATATATTTTCCGTATTACTATTTAATCACACGGTTTATTCAAATGTCTCTTAATTTCTCATTTTTCAACACACTCTTTCAATTTCTAATACACCGAACTACTAAAATCAAATTTTTAGTAAAAAACATTACCTGGTTTGAAGAAAATTGATGAACTAAAGTCAGTAACTTTTGAAGGCGCTGTTTCATACTTGATTGCAAACAAAATGTTTTCGAGTTTGAGATTCCGATGCATCACGCCATGTTTGTGGCAAATCTAAAACACGCCAAAATACAACCAAATTTATCAAAACCAATAGAGACGGAAATTCTTAAAAGCACGTGAGCGCAACAAAAGTAAATAATCTTCATACAAACTAAAAAATATATACTCTACCCTACCTTTAACTCCAAAAGTCAACATGATAGAACAAAGCACATTGAGATTTCATCAAAGTTTGTTTTATGATAACAAAAAACAGAGAGATATTAAGAATGATGATGATGACCTGAACAACTCGGACGATGGTATTAATGACAGAAGCAGCTCTGAGTTCGGTGAAATGTCCTCTAGCATTGATGCGATCCAAAAGGTTACCATCGGTGAAAGGTCCTCTAGCTTTGATGCGATCCAAAAGGTTACCACCTTCACAGTGTTCCATAACAAGATGAACGTGATCTTCGTCTTCAAACGTATCCTTCAACGTAACGATGTTAGGGTGTTTAGGCAAATGACTCAAGATAGCAACCTCTCTTCTGACCCCTTCAATATCAAGCGCTGTTTTAAGTTCATTCTTGGAAATCGACTTGCACGCAACTTCCTCTCCCGTATTTCTGTCTTTGCAAAAGTATGTACTACGTCCAAAATCTCCTCTATCTAGTCTCTTCCCTAACTCGTATCTAGACTCAATCCCCTTTTCCGTGGGCCTTTTTATAACCACCAGTTTTTGGGGTTTTTGCTTCTTGTTCATACGGCATAGATTTCCAAAGCAATTTTTCATCAAGTGATTTTAATTTTAACGAATTTGATCAAGTCAAGAGAATTATGATGGCAGTGGAAGAAAGAAGATTTAAGGATGACTTCGGAATGTGAAAGTCAAAGATGACCACTTTGTATATTTATTATTAGTTTAATTATTTCTACTCCCCCATTCTTTTCTTTTTTGTCGGTTTTATTGTTTTTAAAAGTCTAATATTTTTTCATTATTAAATTAATATAAGTAATATTTTTAAAGTTATAGTTTCTAAAATTTCAACTGTCAATCTTTTTGTTGATATACTCTTTTTAATTTCCTATCCATAATCTCTTTCCTTTTCAGCTATAATAATTTGTTCATGAATTATACATTATAACAGAAAATATATATAATAACGGTTGTGAAAGACATATAATAATAGTAGTGTGTTTGTTGTTAAAGAGTGTGTGATTGTATGTATGTTGGTTACCACAATGGACATATGAACATTGTTATAAATTAGATAGTGCGCTACTTGTAATTACGGTTTATAGAAACAATCGAATATCTTGGGTTCGAATTGTTGAAATATTATATTTAATATTTAAATATAATTCAAGTTGAGTAAGCTCAAGTTTAATTAGGGTTGTATATAAATAATCATAGTTTGTATTATTATTTGTACAATTTAATTCAAGTAAATTATATAATATTTATTTCCTTTATTCTCTCTTTCTTCCCACACTAAAAGTGTCTCACGCACTAATAAATAAATGAGTTCCGGTTAGATTCTTGATCGTGTTTTCAAGAATCACACGTCAGAGATCGTATTTTTGAGATTCTGGGTTGTTTACTAGCAATCACTGCGAAGATGAATGGTAACAATAGCATTTCGAATTATCTTCCAACTCTTGACAGCAAGAATTGGATTTGATGGAGAAAATAAATGCAATCTCTGTTTGGCTTTTATGAAACCCCATAAGTGGTTACTGATGGCGTTTCTGCGCTGGCTGCAGATACAACCGACACACAAAAAATAGCCTACAACGAAGCCAGGAAGAAGGATTGCAAGGTTGTGTATTGCATTCAGACGGCGCTCGATGCGACGAACTTCTACGGAATCTCTCATGCTGAATCGGCGAAGGAGGCATGTGATATTCTTGTCAAGTACTATGAAGGAGGTGATAAAGTCAAGGTTGTCAATTTGCAGACATTGCATCGACAATATGAATTGTTGTCGATGAGAGAAGACGAAAAGATTGCAGAGTATGTGTCGAAGGTTCAGAAACTCGTCCATCTCATGAAGGATTGTGGTGAAACCCTAACTGATAAGATAATAGTTGAGAAGGTAATGCGTATGTTGACCTCTCACTTTGATCATGTTATCTAGATATTCAAGAATCCAATCAACTTGAAACCCTAAAAGTGAAATATTTGGCTGGTTCGTTGGAAGCGCGTGAGATTATGATTGTCGAAAGGAAAGGAGTTCAAGACTCGATACAAGCTTTGCAGACTCAACCATGGAAAAAGAATGGTGGTTCCAACAAATTTAAGGCAAGTTCGATAAGACTCAGGGCAAGAAGTCTTGGTCGAATCCCCACAAGAATAAGGTCGATGATAGGGCTTCTGAATCCTCGAAAAGAGATGGAGGAAACTATCAAAAGGACAAAGAAGATAAAAAAGGTGTGCAGTGTTATAAGTGTGAAAAGTGTCACTTTGCCAAGAATTGTTGGTACAGGAAAGACAAGGGATCGACAAGCAAGGACGAAAGAGAAAACTTTGCAAACAAGATTCAGATTATTCTGAAGGTATGATGGTTATGGCTGCAGTAGTAGATAACGGTGTCGAATCTAAGATTTGGTCCCTCGACTCAGGCTACTGGAATCACATGACTGGTCAAAAGGTGTGGTTGGCAGATTTCGACGAGTCGATGAAGAGCAAGGTAAAACTTGCTGATAATAGTTCGTTGCAAGTGGAAGGTACTAGTAATATAGTTTTTCAAATGAGTAATGGAGTGAAAGCTATGATCAAATATGTGATATATGTACCTGGAATGAAGTGCAACCTGCTAAGTGTTGGACAATTGGTCGAAAAAGGTTTCTCAGTTGTCATGAAAGATGGAGTTTTAAAATTGTTCTACACCTAGAACAAATTGGTCTTGAAATAGGTTGTCAAAGAATCAGATGTTTAAGACCATGATCAGTTCGACTGAAGTAAAATGTCTAAAATTATTGTCGACCTCAAGGATAGTTGGTTGAGGCATTTGAGGTTTGGACATTTGAACTTTCGATCACTCAATCATCTGATTACTCAAGATATGGTTATGAGTACAACTTTGTCATCAAATGTTTTGCATGATGTCAAAACTGGGAAAAGCTAGCACTTTTGTACATTAGACGGTATCCCTATGTCTTGTGGCACTCCTCTGCATTAGAAGTCTTATGAATCATTAAAAATCATTTTGAAATTGATCAAAGCCATTAAAAACAAGTTTTTGCATAATTTTTCATTGCATGTATCGACACATACGATTTTCAGGTCGACACATGCAACTCAGTTTTGAAGCTTGTAGCCTTTGGAAGGCTCGGGTCGACACGTGCATTGCATAGGTCGACACATACTGAAGCATTTCTGAAATTGCATAAATTCTTATTTTATGTGTCGACACATACGAATTTCAGGTCGACACATCTACTGTTGTTTTAAATCCCGTAGCTTCTGACTTGGTTGGATCGACACATACCTTCTTTCAGGTCTACACATATAGCTTAAACTTGACATATGTGTAGAAACATACGAGTTATAGATCGACACATACTGATTGTTTTGGTCAATTTTTTAAATCTTTTTAATTCCAAATAAATCCTTTTTTCCCTAAATGTCCAAAACTATAAATACATCATTCATGCATCATTCATAAATTGGAGATACCATAAAATTATCCTACATTTGTTAGTCATCTTCAACCTCCAATCTATGCATACACACTAACATTCAATTGTAGCAGTATTCTGTTGGGGTGCCATATATACGAGGTTTGATAATATCCTATTAGGTTCTTGTGTAGCCGGAGATATTAGGTTGATATTTATAGGGGTCTTCATCCAAAAAAACCGTGGATTTATTCTCCAAGATCATTGGTTGATTTGGGGGTTTTCGTACAATACATTCAAGAAGTAATTGCGGCCAAGTGAAGTCCTTTGGAGATAAAGAACGCAAGGGATTCTTTGGGGATAAAGAACGCGAAGGAAGTAGCAAGAGAACGACATATTATAATTGAAGTCTTGTGTTTGCAATAGGTGAAATTGACGGTGTGCAAAAGCTTTAGAGATAAAGTACGCAAAGGAGTAACAAGATCCATTATCAATTTTTAACTATTGTGTCTTGGTCTTTCTCAAGATCAAAAGAGCAGAAAGGGTTAAATCAACAACAAGCATTAGGGTTTATGGAGTTTCTTTTGAACACTTATCTTGTATCAACTTTTTGCATAGTAAATCATACCCACACGCGAGGACGAAAGTAGGGAACTGTGAAGACAAATCCCCGTGTCTCTTTTATTTTTGTTTTTACTTGCTTTGATATCATCAATCAATTTGTCTAATAGCATTGTTTTATCAATTGAATTGTAAGAAATTTTCTTGACTGTTTTTTATTCTAAATCAAGTGTTAATATTTCTTATAATCACTTTCGATTATAAGTGGTTTTGTGTATCAACACAACTTAAGGAAAAATTCTAAAAATTCACTTGCACATCAAGTGTTCGACAAATTGATTTTGTTTGTTCCTTTTAATATTGACATTGGAAATAGAATATCTAGTAACTTGCTACAAACGATTAATAATGTGTTACTCGTTATAAGTTCTATTAATTCATTTTAGTATATTCATTCCATTTAAAATTTATTATATAGTTGCATATCCGAGTTTCAAATAACTATTCGTATAGACGAATCTTTGAAAAAGCTTCCGCTAAACTCTTTGTTAAAATAACTTTTTCAAAACCAGATTTTTTCTAATTTTTTAAAGGGGTGTCTATTCACCCCCTCTAGATAAGTTATCATCGACTAACAAGTGACATTATAATAGGGTGGGAGAACTGACTTTTTGTTTGTTTTGCGTTTTATCGCAATTGTTGCGGATAGCAAGAGTCGCCACTGACTTTTCTTTTATCCAATAAACAAAAGGGTGAAAAGAATAGGAGAGACCTTTGATAGATTTTGAGTTTGGAGGGTAAGTTATGAAAAGGGAAGGTGTTAACACCCTTTTCATCCGTAGTTATCTACATGATCTTAATCACTTGCTCAATTTATTTATTTTGCGTGTGTGCTTTTGAAAACATTTTGGAATGCTAAATAGCAAGGCAGTTTACTTTATGATAACTCTTGTATCAGTCCTCAAGAGTGTAGATAAAGTGTTTTAAAAATGTTTTTGAAAGTGTGAGGTGTGAAAAAGTGTTTTAAGTTGTGAGCAAGCAATTAACAGTAACTACCCACTCAAGGTCTTTCTTATATTTTTCCTCCTCCTTTAGATAGTGTTATCCATACCATTTGTTAGTAGGAAGCCCTATCTTTGGATGTTCGAGGGACAAGTGTAGGTTCGTCGTTATGTTCATTGAAGACAACATGTAGGGATACCTTTAGCAATTCGAAGGGACTGTCATCATATATATTCATAGGCAACATCGATGGACAAAATCATATACCGTAGGCAACTTTGAGGGACATCGAGGGACCATGATCTTTATGATGATTTATAACTGAGGGTCTTTACTAATGGTATCCCTACGTTCGAGGGACATGACCATTGTTTTTTCAAGGCAACGGGAGAGATTACCCTATAGGTGAAGTGTGCAAAGTGTGCTTATTTCAATTCATTTATCTTGCAATTAGGGTTTTCTATCGTCCATTTTTATCTTTCCATACAATCCCTAATTACTCTAAGCATTGCATAAAATATAGTAGCTGAAGGTAAAAGCGGAAATGTAAACCTATGCTATTACAGAGTTTTGGGGCAGTTACATAATAGTGAAGTGCGGAAAATAAAA